TATATGAAATGAAGCAGACACTTCCTTATTTGTTCTTTCATTACCGATACCCATTTCTTTTTTATCACCATGCCTTAAGGAGGAAAACAAAGATTGAAAGGCTTTTATTTTTCCCCTCAGCATCCTGCCTTTGCCCCACAATCTTTTCCTCCTCTATCACAGAGTAAACTGTGAATGGAAAAATAAAGAGGAATTAGGAAGACAAGAACTGAGAAAAACTGGCAGATGAAGAAAAAACTAATGTTTAAAAACTACGGTTTACCTACACTCAGAAGTTAAAAATTGCCAGGAGAGGAACCATGGGTATCTATTATTTAAGAACTGCTGAAACTAGTTCTGGGAAGCAGCAGGATTCTTATAATAATTGATAAAAGAAGTTTATGGGCAAAAAGTGTGATGACATATCGTTTTCTTGATATCCTATCTTCACTTTTGTTTTTAATAGGCTGTCACATTTCTTGTTTCTACAACATAAATGCAAGAACCGGCTGGGCTTCAGTTAGACCCCACCCTGTTCTTTCTTCTTGTTTAGAGTCTTTGCCTTTTGTTTTTCTCTGCTTCCTGATTTCAGCTAGCATTACATGGAATTTTAAGAAAAAAAGTAAAAAAAGTAAAAAGTAAAAAATTTTTAGAAAAATTTAGAAAAAATCAAGGCGATTACACATGGTGATGTGTTTATGTTAAGAGGAAGAATCATTTGAGAATTTCCTAGGCAAATCCAAAAGTTTTTGGAAGTTTCACTGTACTTTTGTAGTTCTATTCTTGTGAAACAATAGGAAAAAAATATATATTGGTCTCTGCCCCCAGTTTGTGGCACAGAGCTCCTACAACTCTTATAATTTCCCAAAGTAGTAAGAGTACATAGGATCATCTTTATATCCCAATATCTGGTCTGAGACCTTGATTCCTGACATAGTACTCCTAAATCCCTTGGCGTTTCCAGGGTGATGGCAATGTCTTTTGTCCTAATGAGGTGACTTTTGGTGGGTTCCAGGATAGGGACTGGTTACCACAAAGTCCAAGCTATGATTAGAAATGTGGAATTCTCAGTCTCACCTGTTAATTCTCTGGAGAAGGGGAAGGGGCTAGAAATGGAGTTAATGATCAATCATGCCTATATAATGAACTTTCCATAAAAATCTCTGAAGTAGAGGATTCAGAAAACTTCAGGGTTGATGAACACATAGAGGTGCAGAAAGAGTGGCGTTCCCAGAGAGGTATGGAAACTCTGTGCCCCTTCCCACATACTTTGCTCTACTCATGTCTTTCATCTGGATGTTCACTAAATTATTTAACATATCCTTTTATAATAAACTGATAAACAGTAAGTAAACCATTTTCCTGAGTCCTGTGAACCACTCCAGCAAGTAATTAATCAAACCCCAGAAGGAAGTCCTAGGAGTCTCTGATTTACGGTCTATCAGTCAGAAGCAGAGGTTACAACCCAGACCGCAATTGGCATCTGAAGTGAAAGGGGCAGTCATATGAGACTTAGTTCTTAGCCTGTGGGATCTTATACTAGCTATGTCTAGGAAGACAGTGTCAGAACTGAGTTCAAGTGTAGGACAACCAGCTGGTGCCACAGAATTGCTTGGTATGAAAAACACCACATATCTGGGACAAAAGTGTTCTAAGTGTGATACAAGTGTGAGATAAAAGTGTGATAGTGTGAGAGTAAAGGAAAGATACACAGGAAGAGAGCTGAGCTTTTCTTTATAATTCCTGAAGCCCTACTATCTACATACAGCATGAGTTTGGATTTCAGACATTACTTCAATGAGTACATTTTATTTGCCTGAATAATTTCTTAAAAAATGGTTACTATTAACCCATCGAAGTTATGGCTAAATTCTCAACGGAACTACTTGTTTGAAGTACATTTTTTCCCCCTGTAAAGTTGTACTACTGAGGTTCTTTGTTATGAACAGCAAAATCTTTTTGAATTTTAGAACTATCTGGAATAAAAACAGCATCAATCAATGAAAAGGTTAGATTTAAGCCTGTTCAACAAGACACACATTTCTTAAGGAGGATGGTGGTCAAATTTTTGTAGGAACCAATTAATAATTAGGGACAATTCAGAACTCCAGCTTGAACTGGAGTTATATTGGAATTTCTATTGGAATCTGTTGTTTCAAAGTCTTTGGTCACTGGTTCAGTGCAAATCTGGTAAAGAGAAGGCAGTTTAACTTTGAAGTCCAATGTCCACAAGGCTTTTGTCATGTCACCAGGAACACTTCTGAAGAGCTTCTGGGATTTATCACATTCTATTCACATGTGACAATTATAACCTTTTAGAAGTTGTACAGTTAAAATGAGAAAGAAATATTTGTTTAAAAAATGCTCCGGAGACTAACTTCCTGCAGTTAAGGTGGCCTAAGGTAATGTCAAATTAAATGGTGGCTTGGCGGGATAGGTGACGTCTGCTCTGGGAGAACTGGAAAGACAGTAATTTTGCTCAGTCCTAATCTGCAGGCCTCTGGGAGGAGTGGTCAGGAAGCACCAGGAAAGGGGAAGGAATCGTGACTATGAGAGCACCTCCCCTGCACACACCAGACTTTCCATCCTCTCATCCTCTTTGCTCTGCTGTTCATTCCCTCTCAAATCTTGAGGTACACAATGAAAGAGATTATTATATCTCTAGAACATAGTACTGAATCAGCCTATACAAAATTAATGTAATTACTATGTTGATTTCCAGATGTTAGCTTAATGCCAGCCTATTAAAACTTCTAAAGATGAAGATTAAAACAAACATTCTGAGTAAACACCCACATAAAGACATGTCAAGTGAATCTAGTGATAATCTGAGGGAATGGCAGAAATGTCCAGAGAGGGCATTTTAGAAATTGAATCTCTCCATCACTGACTGGGATAAACAGAATTTCCCAGGCGCTCTTCAATCTTGTTTCCAAAGAGCCTCCAAATTTCTTGTCCTAGTCCCTGGTCTTTTGTCAGCTGTGCTCTCTCCCGTTACCCTGTATCCCCATATCTGGGACTATATCCTCTTAACTTCATTGCTGTGCCTCAATAGACCTTGCACCAGGGCTGGTTTCTTATTCAGGGTTTATATATATATATATATATATATATATATATATATATATAATTTTATTTTACTTATTTATGATAGTCACAGAGAGAGAGAGGCAGAGACACAGGCAGAGGGAGAAGCAGGCTCCATGCACCGGGAGCCCGACGTGGGATTCGATCCCGGGTCTCCAGGATCGCGCCCTGGGCCAAAGGCAGGCGCTAAACCGCTGCGCCACCCAGGGATCCCTTATTCAGGGTTTTAAAATTCAAGCAAAACCCCTTCCTTTTATTCAAAAGTATCTTCTTTTCCTCCTGCTGCCTTCCCTAGGACCTACATGGGATACAGGGAGCCCAGAGAGGCACAGGCAGGCAAAGAAACTGGTGTCCTAATTTATAAAATTTTGGGTAATAATACTTATTTCCTTGGACTGAAGGAATAAGAGAGATAACTTACATACATAGTGTCTGGCGTATTATAGAATCTTGATAAAAGGTATTGTTATAAATGTTAGGTCTTTTGCTACATTTAGTTTTCAAAGCTTTACTGACTGAAATTTTCTCTCTCTTTCTTAGAATGACTCGATTTTATTTTTTTCCTCATGAAGGTTTTTGTTAAATCTCTGGATTCCTGGAAAGTAAGATGGACAAGAACCCATTATGAGGACTAATTACAGGTCACCATCTCATAGCCTAGACTATTTAGTCCTAAAAATCGGAGAAGATAAATTCACCACTTTCCTGTGAGTTTTGTGGGCTTTCTTTTTGGCATTTGTAGTGTTCAAACTATTAGCTTCCAGATCATGCTGAGGAAATATAGCTGAGACTCAATGTCTACAACTTTTGTAGTCTGAGTTTTGCATTGAAATTTTATTCTTAAATTAATTATGTCTACTGTGGTTAAACTTTAAGAAACAAACACCAATAATACAATTTTTTGAGAAATAAATGAAACTAGCTTTTCCAATACTTTAAACAAATCCAAAGTTAAACTGGAATTCAGTCCCAATGGAATAAAATCTAGTTTTGGACACATTGTTTTAATTAAACAATATTATTCTGGATGGCCATTTAAATAATTAGAGTAAAAATGAGATACTTGATACAGTTCTTACAAAGTTTTAGAGAAGTATGACTGTTAGGATTGATGAATAAAGCTATTCATGTATCCTTATTTATTATTCAGGTATATAATTGTCTTTAAACCTATTAATGATTATTTTTCAATGCATATTTCACAGCCAACAGCTCCTAGGGGCAAACTGTTGGCTATTTCTGAGCCAGAGAAAAGAGTTTTTATACCAGAGTCAGCATTATAGTCATAAGGTTCTGAATTACACTCCCCAGAGATACATCCCAAGGATTTCAACTTCAGTTGCCAATTAAAAAGTTTTTCTTGTATTGATTCTTGGAGGACTTCTTTTCTTGCTTTAGCTATTTTAAATTTAGACAGAAGATCTCACCTGACCATTTGTGGTAGTTTTCTTTCCTTTTTTTCCCCTTTATTATTATGAGAGTTGTTTGTGTTTACTATATTTATGTTTCTTGTGACACCTTCCTAAAGAATATACATTTGTCTGTAATTCCCTTGGATTTCTCAGGACCAGCATTAGTGAGGACAGATGTTCCAGGCCTTTCCAGCATCTAGGGAAGCACTCTATTTAGATTCACTGAGGGGTACAAGGAATGTTAACAGAAATTCAGATAGTGAGCAATTGTACATTTTGCCTATACATGCATTTCCTACTTCCCGCTGAATTCACACAATTTATGCTTCTTTGTGATTTTTTTGTTCATTTTGTTTGCTTTATTATTGCAGAATAGAAAAGTGAGATTTGAGGTCTTGAATTGTCTTATGATGCTGTATGTGAAAAAAAGTTAATTTAGTCATGGCTCATCATTCTTCTAGATGTTTGTAAAAAATAAATTGAGCTATATTCCAAGCTACATATGCATTTTTGCATGCTTACCTTGTCTGACAGCTAGTGTGGTGGTATAGACCAAGAAGAGAAGGATGTAATTGAGGAAACTCTGAAAGACTGGTGTATTGGCATGGAAATCTTCTGACAGGTACTTGCTGGTCAAGCCAATTCCACAAATAAGAAGAGATAACACCTGGCCCAGAGCCACAGAGATTAACATCTCCCTGAAAAATAAAGAGAAACAGCAAAGATCAGCAGGAAGTCCATTAAAACACTAACAGTTAAAATTTATTGGGCACTTGCGCCAGTCACTAGGTTCAATGCAGTAAGTAGTACTTTTTTTTTCATCCATCACAGCAATCCTACAAGCAAGGTGCAATTATTAGTGAGGTTTTATAGAGGGAAAAAAACAAAGTTTAGAGGGGTTAAGGAATTTGCTCACTGTCACATAACCAGGAAATGGCAAAGCTGGGATTTGAGACCAAATCTCTCCAAGTAATCCTGGCTTTTAGCCATGGCACTCTGGAGCCTGTGGGGGGAAATTAACCTCATCCCTGATGCCCACCATCACGTTCATTAAGCATTCAGAAACCTGAGAGAACACCAGCACACTGACAAAGAAGCACTATATTGTAATCTTATCCTCAGGTTCTCATTCCAATAAAGACAGACTCTTTTTTTTTTTTTTAAGACTGAAATCTTGGATCCAGGAACACTTAGGGGAAGGGGATGTACAAACCCCCGACAATCCAGAGGGACCATCTCCTTTCCATTTCCAGATTTTGGATCATAATTTGCTCTAGCAAGCACTAATAAGCACTGATCTCTGCTCCTCTACACAAGTTACAATCGCTTGCACAGTAAAACTGCTATTTGCGAAGGAAATTTAGTTACTGAGGTGGTATAATAAAACATTTCAAATTCTGTAAATATTTTCTGTGGCTTTTTCATAGGCATTGTCGACCATTGTAGTAGGGACTAAAGGCCAGAGTCAAGGGGTTCACTTTGCAGAGAAATAAAGTGCCCATATGGGTTTTATGATCATATAAACCTGCATCGTCTGACTCAGGAAGAGCCCCTGGAAATAAAGCAGGCTTTTGCCTTCCCTGAAAGTCCCATCTGACTTTCCTGCTTTATTTTTAGAAACAGAAATGTAAAATAAGCAAGCAGTAGTATTTCTAAACAAAAAGCATTAGTCAGAGGACTTGCAATGTTACATATTTCCTCCCCCACAGCAATGTGAACCCATCTTTCTGGAAGGGGCACAGAGTCCTGAGCAGGTATCTGCATCATGTCTTGCTTAAAAAAAAAAAAAGAAAAAAAAAAAAAAAAAAAAGAAAAGAAAAGAAAAGAAAAAATTAAAAGGCATCCTTCACATTTTGGTCATTCCATTTGTTCCCATGGGAGGAAAATTGTGGCAAGACATGAGGGCTTTCTTTCATGAGATTAACCTGTAAAATGCTGGTAGAGGCTTCTCACTGGTTGCCCTGTTTACAGGTATTGGCCCTGACCCCTGAATTCAATCTTTTTTAAGGAACCAAAGAGATATTTTAAAACACATATGTTTAAAATGTCAGCCTGCTGCTTAAAATCCTATAATGGTACCCCATAAAATACAGTGATCTAGAAGGCCTGTAGGTACGTCGTCTACATAGATGGCTGCCAACATTTCCTCCTATCCCTGTGCGTTCATGCTGTTCCTCTCATCTATTTCTCCTTTTCTAACTCAGTTTATCTTGTGACTTACTTTGACCAACTATGTAGGGGAAAGGATGTCATGTGACCTTTGGGCTAATCCATAAGGAGCTCCGTAGCTTCCATTTTTTTGTTCTCTTCAGATACAGTTTCCACGTAAAGAACTCAGGCAACTGACTATTGAGAGTCCACATGAAAAGAAAAAGAGACTCAGCCAATGCCACCCCAGCTGAAGCACCAGACATGTCAGTGAGGATCCTGGATTCTCCTGCCCCAGTGGAGCAGTACCAGCCTGTGCCACATGGAACAGAGATAAGCCATTCCCAGAGATGGCTGCCCAACTGGAGAATTATGAGAAACAATCAATGGCTGTTATTTTAGGGCATGACATTTGCAGTGGTCAGTTATGGAACCAACAGGTAACTGAAAACAAGGCCCTACATGCCCTCCCTTCACTCTCATTACCTCTAGAGCTTTACCTTCTGCCTTCCCCATGAAGCCAGAGCTCCAGTCTACAAAGCTACTTACATCTCAACAATGAGTCATGGTCTTCTTTGCTGGCATTCCTTTGCATTTGTTATTATTATTCAAGAATGTTTATCCTGCCTTGATCTATCTGATTCCTATTCATCTTTTAAGATTTGGCTTAGATGTTACCCCCCTTTAAGAAGTCTTACCTGTCCTCTTTTCCCTGGGATGTTTCTCCTTTACATCTCTAGCATTGTATTATAATTACTGATTTTACCCCCTTTTATCTTCTGCCAGACTGTGAAGTCTGTATGATGTGCTTCACTGTATCTATAGCTGGGCAATACCATTCAGGGGAAGAAGAAAATGAAGGAATTCAAAGACAGTGCAGAGATAGGCCTAGGCAACCCTGAGCAGTTTTACTGAATTGAAAGGTGATAAAAAAGAAAGGCAGAGGTAAAAAGAAGTACTAGAATTATACATACAAGGGAATATTACTCAGCTATTAGAAATGACAAATACCCACCATTTGCTTCAATGTGGATGGAACTGGAGGGTATTATGCTGAGTGAAGTAAGTAAAATGGGGAGAAGGACAATCATTATATGGTTTCACTCATACGGGGAATATAAGAAATAGTGAAAGGGATTATAGAGGAAAGGAGGGAAAATGAGTGGGAAATATCAAAGAGGGTGACAAACCATGAGAGACTCCTAACTCTGGGAAACGAACAAGAGGTAGTGGAAGGGGGGATGGGGTGAATGGATTGAGGGGGGCACTTGATGGGATGAGTACTGGGTGTTATGCTATATGTTGGCAAATCAATCGAACTCCAATAAAAAATTATACATATTAAAAAAACGGTTTTTAAGTCACACTAACAGAAGTGTGATATTCACTAACAAAAATCAGGACAAACAGTGTATGTTCTCATTCATTTGGGGAATATGAATAATAGTGAAGGGGAATATAAGGGAAGGGAGAAGAAATGTGTGGGAAATATCAGAAAGAGAGACAGAACATAAAGACTTCTAACTCTGGGAAATGAAGTAGGGGTGGTGGAAGGGGAGGAGGGCGGGGGGTGGGGGTGAATGGGTGACGGGCACAGAGGGGGACACTTGACGGGATGAGCACTGGGTGTTATTCTGTATGTTGGTAAATTGAACACCAATAAAAATTAATTTATTAAAAAAAATAAATAAATCTGAAGGACTCAAAACCAGGAAAAAAAAATCATGATAAGGATCTGGTTTTAGTGGAAAGATAACAAATATTTTTGGTATATTGAATTTGAGCTGCCAGATGAACTTCCAAATGATCCAGCAGTATTAGAAACAAGAGATAAGAATTGGATAGGGAGATCAACCAGGAGATAAATATGTAGAAGTGACACACCTAAGAATGATGAGTGAAGTAGTAGAAATGGATGATTATCACCAAGGAAGGGAGAGAGAATAAGAGGGCCTAGGAAAAATCCTTGAGGAATCCCCAGATTGGGGTTAAGGGAGAAAGAAGAGGCACATCATTGGAGTCAGGAGTGTTTAGAAGTCTAAGGGCAAAATCAGGATAGTTCTTGCTATCAGGGAAACCAAGGAAGCAGAGACTGTCAAGGGAGGAGGTGGTTGTGATATTGAATGTTGCTAAGAGGGTAGAGAGAATGAGGACTGAGGGAAGATAATTTGTAGTCACTGCTAGCTTTTGAAAGACCAGTTTTGGCAGAGTGGAGAGTACCAGAGCAATATTGGTATCATGGAAACCAAGGGAACAGAGAGAATTTCACAGAGGGAATTGTTAGCTGTGATAAGTAGGCAGGAAGTGGTAAGATATAAAAGTGTTGACTTTGAAGAGTTTTGAATTCTTCAAAGAGCTCTTTGAAGAAGTTTGATCTAGTCACCACAAAACACCATTATTACGATAATAGCTAAAATAATAATGTATAAAATGATTTAGAAATTTTACTTAGAGTAGATTCATGATTATCCTCTCACTGGGTCATTCTTGATTACTTGCATAATAAGTTATGTCCTTAAGTGGAAGAGAAATGGGGAGAGTTACAACTAATTGGTTGCTCCCAATGCTGAGAATGTCCACTGGAAAATACTGGGTATGGAGTAAATCTCCTTGGGAAAGAAGGTCAAAAACATGCTAATTCCTACAGTAGCTTAAATTACAACATGGTATTCAAAACCTTGGCAATATCCTATACCTTTCTTGAACAAAATCAAGCCATCAAAAATGACTGACTACTCACGTAAGAGAATAGAATTTTAGTCCTTCTGATGTATATGTACCAATATACTATAAAACAGCCATCTATACGTCAGGCACTATATATGCAAGGATGAAAAAGAAATGGTCCTTGTCTTTGGGGAGCTACTAACTGAGATTTTGGAGCTGAGTTCCCAAATAACTTACTACAAAATGAGGCCAGTTAAGGTGAAATAACAATAATAATTCATATTTAATAAGTTCTCACTCTATGCCAAGTCCTGGGCTTAATCTTATATATACTATCTTATTTAATCCTCATAATAACCTACAAGGCAGGTACTACTTTTGTATTTATTTCTTATAGAAATGTGCTGACACATTGTGGGCACATTCTGAAAGCTTATGGTGCAATGAATCTGCTCACCAGATATTAATCTACTTTCTGGAGTTTTAAAAATATAGTATTGATTAGATTAGTGACCGTTTAAATTCAAAGAGACTAAAGCAGTACTCTCTTAATACAGAATAACTGGAAGACCAAAATATTTAGAAATCTGTTTTCCAAATATTTTATACCTATGTACTGTATTTATCATTATACATTATACATTCACAGTATAAATTAGTATTTATACTATATAACTGTATAAATATGCAAATATTTAGATGTTTTACAGATACACATGTATATACTATAAATAAAATTAATAAAAATTATCTCAAAAATAATTTTTATTACCTAATAAATGTCAGATATTATACTAGACACAGAATAGTATGATGACTAGCATGATGAATAAGCATGTGCACAGATGCTAAGGAACTCAGTTTCAAGTAGGAACAGAGCTGG